GCTAGGAGCTGGAACCAACTTCCAAGGGAAGTGGTGCTGGCCCCTACCCTGGGGGTCTTTAAGAAGAGGCTGGATGCCTACCTGGCTGGACTCATTTGAGTCCCGTTTCTTGTTTTGGGGTTTTGTTGTTCTCCCGCCGTGGCGGGGGTTGGGCTAGAAGACCTACTAGGTCCCTTCCGACCCTAAATCTATGAAACTATGAAACTATCTGTGGGGACATTGCCAGTGGGTCAGGGGCAGTGATTCTTCCCCTCTATTCAGCACCGGGGAGGCCACATCTGGAGTCCTGTGTCCAGTCGTGGGCCCCCCACTACAGAAGGGATGTGGACATGTTGGAGAGAGTCCAGTGGAGGCAATGATAATGGTTTGGGGGCTTGGGGGCATGACTGGTGAAGAGAGACTGAGGGACCTGGGTTTATTTAGTCTGGAGAAGAGAAGACCAAGGGGGATTTGATAGCAGCCTTCACCTCCCTGCAGGGGGGCTGCAAAGAGGATGGAGCTGGGCTGTTCTCAGTGGGGGCAGATGGCAGGACAAGAAGCAATGGGCTCCAGTTGCAGCAAGGGAAGGTAAGGTTGGATACTAGGGAAAACTCTCTCACCAGGAGGGTAGCAAAGCGCTGGAGCAGGCTGTCCAGAGAGGTGCAAAACAAAAGTTTTAATATTGCGGATCTATGGGACTGGCAATGTTATCAGTTGAGGACGAACTACTTAAAGACATCGATACCACAGATGTGATGAATCTTGCAACAAGTCTGATTATTATTATCATTATCTCTGGTAAAAGGGGGCCCGATACTAAAAGTTCAGCTAGGGCCGCCAGGAGTCTAGGTATATCACTGGTAGCCGGGGGCGTGGTCTTGACCTGGGATCTCTTGAGCATCTATTAACATTTCATAGATAATAAAGGTAAAGCTGGCTGCTGTGGTCCCCAAGCTTTACCTGTGCCAGGTTTGTGTGTGAGGTCTGTGTTATGTCAGGGTTGAGGGCAGTCTTATGTAGCGTTTAGATTATGGCTTGTATAGGATGGTCTGGATAGGGACGATCCTGCCTCAGGCAGGGGGTTGGACGAGATGATCTCTGGAGGTCCCTTCCAGCCCGACCTCTCTATGATCCTATGAAAAGGGATCTGGTTCC